GTAGCGTCTTTTGCGGAAATACTGGTTCCTGAAACGAGGTTTAGCCAAAAGGACTACGGAGCTAGATTACCGAATCCGACACGGCACATAAGGGCTGAGATGACTCGAAATAGTGCACTTGTTTCTATCTTATCATCGAGAATTTTGACTTTTTCTAGGACAAAACCGTAGATATGGACAAGTCTGTGAATATGGACGTACACAAAGATGAACAATCAGAACTGGGAAGTGTACCAGAATTGGATAAGGCACCTGAGAGTGAAGAACCACGTCAAAGTCATGAAAATAAAATGGTGGCAGATAGTGGAAAACCATTGGCGGAAACTAGTGCTGAGAGGGATGGAGCTTACGTCGCTGTTGAAAAAATACATGGTACAAACGTACGACAAGAGTATCAGGACCAGCGCAGTAAGCCGGAGGGTGATGTTGATGCCGATGAACAAGAGACTGCGGCGATTAAGCTTCAGGTAGTAAATCTAAGGGGACTGCTTCCCAATAGTATTTTGACCCCGTAACTGTTCGACGGGTACTTGTTGTTTTGTGCATTTTCAGTTTTTCCGGTTTGTAGTGTATGATTAATTGTATGTTTCCTTAACTTTTTTCATTGCCGCTCTTGGCTGTGAAGTGAATCACAAAAGAACAGAAGTTTTTGTAACCCGGAGAAACAATATATCCAATTGAAAAGTTTGAGACTTTATCTATCCATTGTGATTAATTAGAAATGTTCCTTTACTGAAGACCACGTGTTAAAGAAAAGTTAGAAGCAGCGTATTTCTGTCCATGAACTTTGTACAAGTAATTTTCATACACTAAGGAATATTTGATGAGAATTGTAAATCCAAGCCGACGTTTCTGAGCTGAGTTGTGAATTTTTTTCAAGTGGTTTTGAAAAGAGAGGGTTAGTTGACAAATGATGTTGTGTCTTATCTAGTGAGCCCTAGCTGATATTTATGTCACAGACAGCTCACATTCAGAGCTCTAATAAGCTGAAGGGAAAAGGTGCTTATTTCACTTTGTTCAAAAATTATTTTCATCTTACTGGTAAACAAGTAAAAGTCTAATAACACTAGAACCATTCAACCGTCTTAATAAATAAGAATCAAAATTATACTACTAAATAGATTGAAACTAGACCGTGCTAATGCACAGGTTAGTATTGTATTTTGATTCGTTTTTAGAGGAGATATTTCAATTCCCACTTTGACTCTAAAAAAACACTTTTTCGAAAACTTACTTTGACAACAAGAAAGAACGAATAACAACTCCTGATAAGTAGTGTTTGTCTGCACTACGCATGCACTAGTTTTTAATTGGTGTTGGGGCATCCGGGAGAATTGCTACAAATCAGTTATCACGATTCTCTCAGAGCTGTAAACATCTAATTTTGTAGAAAAATGTTTGCTCTACAAAATGCATTTGTTAAAAGAATTTCAGAATCATTTCTAAGAAAACTCAGAGTATTCAAAAATACATTAAATCACGGAATAAAAACTGTTCGAACAATTTTTCTTTCGTAATTTAGCACATTTTAGAATGCTCTAAGTTTTCTTAGAAATGATTCTGAAATTCTTTTAACAAATGCATTTTGTAGAGCAAACATTTTTCTATAAAATTAGATATTTTACAGCTCTGAGAAAATCGTGATAACTGATTTGTAGCAATTCTCCCGGATGTTCCAACACCAGTTAAAAACTGGTGCATGCCTAGTCTGCACACGATCCACAAAATAACCTAAATGCTTCAGCTCTTGAGCATTATAAACGGATTTGAGCCCACAATTTTTTTATGCTGCTACTTTATAATATTTCGTCTCTATGGAATCACCACAAAATGAGTTACAGTTTCTTTCTATTCCACTCTTCTAGGCCAATTTTCGAGGTTATCACACACGAAAAGTATTAAATGGACGACGTAATTCAAAACGATCAAATTCATCATCTGAAAATAGTCCCGATTTATTCATTAGTCGTACAGCGACCAATGACGAAGCCACACTTCCTGTCCGCGAAGAATCAGAGCTTAATGCAGCTATGGTACAGTATATTTACTTCAAAAGCGAATAATAAAAAATTCACCCTCTGACAGCCACTATACTCCATAATACAAAACTACCATGATCTTCCAGTTTGGCGAGCAACTCAAATCGATTTTTGGCCCAAAAACATCCAGGGGATCTTACGGAGATCTCACGGCTGTAGTGGTATCTAATAGGGAATGGTCTTGTCTTATGGGAGGGGTGTCCATCATTTGCAGAAAGGAATCGAATAACGCTCAGAGCAAGAGAAAATAGAAACATCCTATCTAGAACAATGAATAACAAATGAAATTTCAGTTCCTGATGGAAACGTTGGAGATAAAAGCGACCTCCAAATCGAAGCAGGAAACATGGTGCTTTTTCATAATTCAGCCCAAAATTCTCCAATTTCTGCTCTCCTCACTTACACGTGCAGTAGTAATTTTTTGAACTTCATCGTTTTCAGCGATCTACCACGTATAAGTTGATGTTCTTTTCGAATTACTATTGGATCTATAAAAAATCTGTTTTAGTTCCTGTATTTCTACAATGTTTTGAATTTTGTAGGTGAAAAAAGATGAAAACATATTCTACGGTACAGATCAACAAAAAGCTGAAGAAGAAGCGACTAAGAATCAAGCTGATCTTATTAGCAGCGAAGCAGCTTATACGAAAAATGATGCCGATAAATATGATAATGCTAAAAAGGAACTAACAGCCGAAGTAAGAATTACCTGTAGAACCGTTTATGAAAAATGTGTGTAAACACTGAAATTTTAGGTTCCAGTGAGTACACAAGATCCTTTCGAAATGCTGCTCCCTGTTCGGAAAAAGGGCCCCCAACTTCAAGATTCACTTGAACTACTTTTGTCTACCCGTCGTCCAAACGCTCAACCAATTGCTCCTGTGGAACCACCTACCCCTGTTATTGCACCAAAACCAAAAGTGCTTAAAATACCTGGTCTAATTAGTCGAATCTCTAACTATTTACCCAGTCTAGCAAACACGATTATTATTCTGGTTGTTTTGATACCATTTCTCTGGGCAATGAGAGGACTTTTTATTCCATCAGATATAGTAACATCATCACCATCAATACGACGTTCCCCTCGTCATTCCTCTATATTACAAGAACCATCGAATCCAGATGATCACAACGAAAATCTATCGATGCCAGATATTCCACCAGTTCAAGAGGAATCAGACAAAGATCATAAAAGATCTCGTCAAGATAGAAATATACCACCCGAAGTAACAGAACAACAGGATGATCATGAAAAATCTCTAAAAGCATCAAAAAACTCAAAAGTGCTCACAGCGGATAGAGAAAAGAAACGAAGAAAAAAGGATCTGGTAGTGGACAAAAACAGCCTGAACCATGAAGATGTGGTCATAGTTGATAACGAACGAAGAAAAAAGGATCTGGTAGTGGACAGAAACAGCCCGAAGCACGAACATGTGGTCATAGTTGATAACGAAGAAATGATCCGTGTCGAAAAACCAAGTGACAAATCTCGACGCCGAACACGAATGCGTCCTTTTCCAGGTCGATCATTCGGATTCTTAGCAATGGACAAGAAAATCCCATTAGCTTCACGGCCACCATCACCACCACTATCACCACCACCAACAACAACAACAACAACAAAGAAATTCAGTGTAAACTACTTGAGAGACGCTTTGAAAGGTAAACCGGATTGTGTAGCGCCCCTTAGTAGAGCATCCAACATTGACGAAAAAGTAATTCAACGTTTTCTTAACGGTGATCGTACTATTACGTTAGATACCATTGATCATCTAGCTGATGCACTTGACCTTCGTGCCGTATTCATACCAAAAGACAATGTCAAAAGCACAAGCAAAAAGGGATTTATCTCACTATTATAAAAACAGGAAATATTCATAATTATACTAGTATTACTTATTATTTATTTTATAATCGCTGTAAAACATACATATAGGAAATTCGTCTATTAGGAACAGTACTAATGACTTTTCCTATTGACTTCATTTATTTGTATCCTGAACCCATGAGGATTAACGTTCGAAAAAATCGATCTTTTCGTTTATGGTTATATATATCACATTCCTTTATTTCTTTTTTGTTGCCCTGTTAAAGACTGTATATCTTTGAAATTGAACTTTTATTTTAAATAACAACAAATTATATTTGGAAAAAGGTACTTTAGGGTTGTTTAAGAAAAGCATAAGAAGCGAAATGCTTTTGATAAAAAAAGATCAGTAAGTTAGCAGCAGCATTGAAACTAAGTTTATTCATTTTTATTTTAAGGTCAATGTTTCGACCACTTTATAGTCATTTTTAAGACAATTAAGATGTGAAAGTGAATAATAAATAGAGAAATAAAACAGAAAAGTAAAATTCAAATACTTGTTCGTTCTTTTTCCAGTTGAAGAATTACAAATACCTCTAATATGCATATATATAGTCTGAATCAAACTATATAACTATAGACTAAAACTATATCTACTCTCTCAGTGGTCCTTAACTAAGTCACTATTTTGCTTCCAATTTTACTATTGGTTGGTTTTTTTGGTCGTAAATCTTCTAGAAATATCATCAGAGATACTGAACAAACTGGTCGATTTAGCACTGGCTGTTTAAATTACTGTTCTTTTAGCATCTGATGGTAGTTTATTCAATGCTCTGAATAAACTGCCACCACTGTCATTCAAACTATAAGTGTATATATAAGAGATACTTGTTGTGTTCTAATAAAACTGTCCCTACTGCAGAAAAGTAAGCAATCGCACAACCACAGTTAGAAAACGAAAAAAAAGAGAGAAAGTTTGGTTCAGACGAGAAAATTTTCTGTGATGTTGCTCAGTGAAAAAACTTGCAGGATATGTCTGACATCCACACGATTTTTGCAAACTCCTTCGTGGAAACGCAGGATTTTGAATGTTTTTTTTCCAGTGGGAGTGCGGTATATAACTTGACATCCACAGGATTTCAAAATTTTTTTGAACACTGGATACTCACTGTCAAGCCCATTCAGTTTGCCAAGATCGCACTCATTGGGAAAAAAAGATGCGTTTCATCATTATTGCCCCATTTGTGCTGATTGTGCTTAGTTTTAGCGATGCCTTGAATTATGTTCAATAATTTCTGACTAAAAATGATTATAACTTAAAGTATATATGGAACAGTACGGACCGTTGACTAAAGAAATTTCGTTTTACAACTGCTTGTTCGTCACAGAAAAGCTCAAGCCTTTGGAGGTTGAACTGACCCTTACTACGCAGTTCTCGAGACTATTGGTTGAAATTTGTTTTTGTAGTTGAACTGTTGAGAACTGGGGCTGTTGATTTTTCAAAAACAATTTTCTATCTAATTAAATCGAAAGACACATCACTAGATGCAGTTTTTCACGCTGCTCACGAAAATCAATTTTAAAATTTATAAAAACTAAAACTTTAACGTAAAAATTTAAATTTTAAGCTTTAAAATTTTGTAATTTTAATCTCCTCACCTAGACATTTTCTTGAAAAAAGTTCAAAACTATGCTGATCGATAGAGCATTCAATTCTCTATAAAATGGCTTATTTTTTTCGAACTTCCGATGCTTAGAACAGGTTTTAGAGCCAAATGAGTTCTCTGGAAAACTAATGTTTTTTTAAACGTTTGGGACGAATTCAAAAGAAATTTTAAATTCTATTAATATTTCAAGAACTTCTAAATTCTATCGATAGTTAAAATTTCTTTTGAATTCGTCCCAAACGTTTAAAAAAACATTAGTTTTCCAGAGAACTCATTTGG